ACACGTGACGACGACTACGACGACAGCCTGTTCCACTAGACGATGGAAATGTGCTGCCACCTGGTGGCCATTTTGAGTATAGCTCCTTAGCCCGAGAAACAAACTAATGCGCCACCCCTACCCTTGCAAGACACAGCTAGTTTAGAAATATACTCACGTTTTAAGAGTCTATAATCCGGAAGAATGTTCGGGGTAGGTGAACCCTCTAGACTCTCTCTTAGGCTTGAAGGCCTCACTCACTAGGGGTGGGTCGGGATATGATAGCTAGGGTGTGGGCACCTGGGATGGAGCAGTTCCTTTTCCCAGAGAAGGATTTTCTGTGACTCCAGTTACGGGAACCTTGACCTAGGTTTCTGGGTCTCATGGATACCTCTCACTTTCACTGATACCTTCAAGCTCTGTACATTGACTCCCTGGCCCTGTAAATTGAAGGGGTCTTGGTGTGAAAGCCTAGATCAGCGCCTGTGGAAAGCTGCCTTAAAGATCCCTTTGACTTGGCAGAGAGGGGCAAGGCAGCCTGTTGGGAGTGTGGGAGGCGGATAGGCAAAGAGAAGGCACCTGCAAGGATGACCGGCACTGGTTCCTCCTAAGCCCCTGTTGTTCGCTGGCATATGGAAAGGTCTGTAAAAGTATAAAGCTTTGGGGGAAGTGGTAACGGTGTCAAGAGGAAGCGAGTAGGCCGATTTTATGCAAGTATGCCCGCAGCATCGAGTCAGTGAGGGCTCCGAGCAGCGGTTTCTACCTTCTGGCTGCCCGACATCCTGTCTTGGCTCTGGGTTAGGCCAGTTCTGGGTTCCGGAGACCTAAGTCTGGTCTCCTTGCTGTTGAAGACTGGAAGCTGAGGTTTTCTAGGGTTTTCAGAGAAGCTGCCAAAGAGCCAATGAGTTTCTCTCTCTGGTCAGCCTTCTTCAGATGTTATGCAGCCTGTGGTTGGTTCTCTGTTGCTCCAGGCCAGAGCTCCGGAGGAGGCCTTCTCCTGGATACCCTTCACTTTGTTAGGCTGATGATTCTCCACAGCCCACCCTCCTTCCCCTTGAAGAGATAGGGCTCTTCCAGTAGAACTGAAAATCATAATGGCTTCTTTTTGTGGGACAGAATGGCAGGGAAATATGAGTTACGGTTTACTTACTCTTCAACTCACTATTAAAATTCACTTATTTTTTGGTGTTCTGGCCCTAGAAATGGTGATCTGTGTGACTCAGGCTCACCCGTGGCCTGCTTATGTGACCCTCTCTCTGGTCCTGCCATCTCTTCCTGACTCAGAGAAGACCCTGCATCTACTTTATATGTGAGCTTTACTCTCATGGTCTTCGTGACCAAGACACCTACATTTTGCAATATTAATTTCTTCCTAATATTGATCACAATGTGCCATCAAAACGAGAGGTTCCTTGCACTTGTGACAGCTTCATATTGTGGTTGGTCATTTGCTTACCCGCTTTCTGAAGGTTACCATTCAGAACACAGGCTCTGAAGCCAGCCATATGGGCTCAAATGTCAGCTTGTCACTTTCTAACTGTGCTATATGGGCCAAGGTATTTAACCTTTCTGAGGCTCTGTTTACTCATCATTAACAAGGAGTATCTCCACCCCCAGAAGACAATAAATGAGACCACAAATAATAACCTGCTTAACCCCCCCTCCACACACACACCCCAGTAGCTGGTGTCCTGGAGAGTACCTAACAGGTCCTAGCTGAGGGTCTCTGTCATTGTGAGCCCAGGGACAGGTTTTTGTCACCTCACTTGCTATGAAAGATCTCTGGTCGTCCATCGAGCAATAGTGTGCGCTCTCTGCCAGGCATTGTGGTGCAGAAGCCAAAGAGGTCCTGGTCTGGTCTCAAGGAACTACAGGCTTACGGGATAGGAACGGGGCGACTGTGAAGGCGGCATGGTGGGACCCACATGACAGAGAGGTGGTGTAGGGAGCTTCCTTTAAGGTCTTGCTGGATAACTGTCTTGAAGAGAAACCTTTTATTGTCCTAAGTGGGCCAAGAAATAGGCCCTCCGTCTAGACCAAGATTGTGTGCACAGGAGGAAGTGAAAGAGAATGAGCAAGTCATGAATTTTCAGGTATTGTGGGGCTTCTGGCTTCTGGGAGAGATGCAGATGGCAGGAGACCGCAGAGGCTGAGACCTCAGAACCCTGGGACTTGTAATGACAGCAATTTCAAGGTGCCAGGACTCGATGGTAGGGAATGGGAGGAGATGCACCCATGGGTACCAGTGAGGGACGAAGGTTGTGAGGTGGCTGCCTATCCGCATCTCTCTGTCTCCTTTTGGATTTCACTCTCCAGTGAGCAGACAGCCCAGTCATAGGCCAAGCATGGTGTTCTCTTTATTTAGAAAACAGAAAGGGCTTTTGTCCTTCAAGGAAAACCCCAAGACATTACAAAGATCTCCGGGAGTCATGCTTCTAGGTGGGATGAGGTGGTTTTGTTGGTGACCGTAGGTGTGTCCCCTGTCCCTCTTCACTCAGTGGGTTGGTCTCTCATAGCTTGTGTGGTCTTAGACCTAGGCTGTCCACTTCACTTCCCCAACCCAGTGGGAATGAATGAGTTTCAAAAGAACTCAGTCTCCACAAGAGAATGAAGTGGGGCGGGGAGGAGGATCTGAAATCACAGATGGCCAGGTTTTTAGATCCACCTGTCTTTAACTACGTCCTTTAACTATGTCTTTAAGATCTCCTTCTGCTTCCAGTGGGCTAGAACTATGTTCATGGTGTCTGCCATCTTCTTCACTTCCTTTCAACTTAAAAAAAAGTTTTTTTGCCTGTGTATGGGTGTTCTGCTTTCATGTATGTCTGTGCATGGCATATATGAAGCACCCTTGGAGGACAGAAGAGAAAACCTGACCCCTTGAAATTGCAGTTACATGTGGTTATGAGCTGACATCTGGGTGCTGGGAATTGAACCTGGGTCTTCTGGAAGGGCATCCAGTATTCTTAATGGCTGAGTCATGTCTCTAGCCTGTTCACTCAGCTTTTGTGGTCACAGAATGTGGACTGCCATCTTGTTTCTGCTGGTGTTTATGTAGCTGCTGCCCATTGCATGACCAGCATGCCTTAGAGACAGAAGTCTCATCTCTACCACCTCTGCCCATGCTCACTTCTAAAGCTGGGCTGCCAGCCATGCCTGGAGATGCTGAACCTCGCCCAGAAAGAGGCTCTTCGGTGTACAATGGCCACAACATCCAGGCAGTATGACCCACCCATGCCCAGGAAGGTATGTCTCTCATAAGAGGTTGCTTTGTGGTACTGAGCGGCAAAGGATGGAGAAGTTCAACAGGAACTAACCAAGCAAGATTCATCTTGCTTTTGGTAAAAACGATATTTTTCTTGCCACTTGGTAGAAATTGCCCTCAATAACTTTCTCCAATGAAGTAGAGACAAAGAAAACAGTTAGAGCAGACGTAAGATGAAGGGCCACAAGGGAGGCTAATGAAACCTTCAAAACAATGACAACAAAAGCCAAACCAAAGCCAAACCAAACCAAACCACAACAACAAAAACCAACCCAGTTAAACACTGGGGCTGGAGAGAGGACTCAGTGGTTTAAATGTGCCTGCTGCTATTACAAAGGGGAAACTAATACCCTCATCCGGCATCCAGGGGTACCTGCACACTTCTGTGCATACACACGGACACATATATACAAACACAGAGGGGTGTGTGTGTGTGTGTGTGTGTGTGTGTGTGTGTGCTTTGATTCTGTCCTTGACTGACCTGAGCTGTAGGGAGACCTGGATGGCCTCAAACTCATGGTGACTGCCTGCCTCTGACTCCCCAGCGTGGGAGTTAAAGGCGGGCACTGCCACCACTTTCTTTGTCACAAGAAAATCTTTTGTCACTTTGTGCTAAGTAGGCAGAGTGCGGTAATATTACCTATTTGGTGTTTCCATCTCTTCCTCTACCCAGTCCTATCCCTACACTCATCTGATCCCTGATTCCACGCTGCACCCCGTGTGTGTGTGTGTGTGTGTGTGTGTGTGTGTCTGTGGTGTATGTCTGTTGTGATGGGGTGGTACACAGGCTCTGATGCATGCCAAACAATCATTCTACTACTAAGATATATCTCTAGTTCCTCATGGCCCCATTTGAGAATTTTTTTTTTTGAGAAATGTCTGTTGAGTTACTTAGGCTGGCCTTAAACCCACTCTGTAACTGAGACAGGCGTTGAACCTTTGATCTCCCTGCCTTAGATTTCCATGTAGCTAAGAGTACCAGCTTTCACTACCAGACCTCTTTGAACTGTCTACACACGACTAGTGCCAGCCTTCTCTGCTTCTCCCGTTGTTTTTTCCCCCTGAGGGTTCCTGGCCCTCTACTTCCTCATAGCCTATCTCACTTCTTTAAAGAGGGGTTCTTATCTTGATGGAGCTTGAAAAGCCCTCTGGGGGTAGGGCAGGGGGAAGGCAGAAGCCTTGACAGTGTCTGGGGAAGTAAGAAGGGTAGCACTTTCAGATTTAGCCGCGTAGAACTGTGTCCTCCTGGTTACTGGGAGACCAGGGATGTGTGGCTGAAGCTGATGGTCCTGTGACAGGCCCTTTTGGAGAAGAGTCTCCAAGAGAACATCACCCTGGACAGAATGAGTGAACGGTGAGTTCTCAACGGCTGCTGCGTGTGGACTTTCGGGCAGATGCCCGGCAAGAGCTAGGTCCTCTGGTCTATACATGTCCTGCTGGCAAACCTGCAGCGTCTCCGAGACAGCATGGCATCTGACAACACCACAGCAGCACTGTGGTTGAAAATCACCTACATCTCCATGGAGGTTATCATCGGGCTCTGTGCTGTAGTGGGCAACATGCTGGTCATCTGGGTGGTCAAGCTGAACCCCAGTCTGAGGACCACCACCTTCTATTTCATAGTCTCCCTCGCACTGGCTGACATTGCTGTCGGGATACTGGTCATGCCTTTGGCCATTGCTGTCAGCCTGGAAGTGAAGATGCACTTCTATACCTGCCTTTTCATGGCCTGCGTGATTCTGATCTTCACCCACGCCTCCATTATGTCCTTGCTGGCCATCGCTGTAGACCGTTACCTGCGGGTCAAGCTGACAGTCAGGTAACCTGCTTGAAGAAGGGTGGGGCAGCAGAGTGGGGGGGGGCAGGAAAGTAGAGCTATCAAGTTTGTCTTCTTGACCTGTTCAGTAGAAATGAACCCAAACTGACCCTTGATGTTTACAAAGGGCAGCAAATGTCTTTGCACCATATGGTTTGTGAAGAGGTTAGGCATGAAGAGTTAGGATTCAGGAATAAGAAACAGGGGCACTCTGAGCCTTCTCCGTTGACCATGGCTGTCTACTACCATCCAAGATAGCCAAAGATGACGGGAACCTGATATATCTTTGGTTTTTAAAAATCTGATCTTAAGTTTTCAAGATAATAGAGCCCTAGTAGATATCTTGTTTTAGGAGAAGTAGAAAGAGATAAGCAGCTGCCTGGGTGGTTTTGCAGATCTAGGTTAGATTTTAATGTTGCTTCTGGCTCTGTCCAGATATTGAAAAAAAAGATTCTAAAAATGCATATACATCACCTGTGGGGGTGGCTCACACCTTTAATCCTAGCACTCAGGAGGCAAAGACAGGCAGATCTCTGTAACTTTGAGGCCAGCCTGGTCTACAGAGTGAGTTACAAGACAGTTGGGGCCACACAGTGAAACTCTGCCTCAAGAAATGTAGAAAAGAAAAATGTATATTTTCCTTTTCAACTTTTTTTTAATGAAGTATAAAGCACTTCTGAGACAAGAGACAAAGATATTTTTGCAGTATGTGTAAAACTACTGTGCAGAATGGCAGCATCTTTCCTGTGACCATGCAAAAAGAGCAGGCAGCCGATGAGAAATCACATTTCCTGGTTTCTTCCGGCTCCTCTTGGGGAAAGAGCTTGGTGAGGAAACTGCAAACAAGCGGAGGTGAAAACGAGTCTGGGATCCTCTTCCTAGTCTTATGGTCTGGCGTTGGGCAAGTTATTTGGCTCTCTGCTTCAGTCTCCATGTCTCTGAGTAGCTGAGCATCTGAACCAGGTTTTCTTCCTTCCAGTTGTACCCCTCTGGCTGCTATATGTTTCCTAATGCTGTTTTACATTTTTAAAATCTAAAATAAAAAATATAAAATGAAGATGATAATTTCATCTTTATAAGGTTATGCCAATAAAGTTAATAAATTTTTAGCGAAGTTCTCAGAAAAATCCTGCTACAGAGTCTGTGTTCAATAAATGGTAGCTAAGCCACTGTCATCAGTAAAATAGAGATTGCCATAAAATATCTCTAGTTTGCTGTGCAGTTTAGTGGAGACAAGTCTTAGTTTCTTTCTTTTGTAGTCTGTTTTAGGCCATTTAGGAAGGACGATTTAAGGAGAAATTATGCCTCCCCAGGATGAAATTATAAACACTTGAGTATAAATAACCCTAAGAAAATACTGATTAACTCAAAGAGCAGCATAGATGCCCATGTGAAAGGTGGGGCGGGTACAGTTAGAGAGAAGCGTGGAGGGGCAGTGTAACTCACAAGCTCCAATTCAATAGCCAGTCGAAACAGTGCAGAGCACAGCACACCACCAAGCTTTGGGGAGATTCTCATCAGCTTCAGGATCCGAGAACTTAGGCAACACTTACATTGCAGGACAGAGAGGTGCTGGACAGCTGGCTCAATAGAGAAATGCACTTGCTATTCTTACAGAGGACCCGGATTCTGTTCCCAGCACCCAGCACTGTCCGTAACTCCAGTTTCAGGAGATCCAGTGCCGCCTTCTGACTACCCTGGCCACCAGGCATACATGTGGTACACAGATATACCTGCAAGCAAAGCATTCATATACACAAAATTAAATCTGAAACAAAAAAGAATTCTTGGAGCCACAATTGAATGGAGGCACCTGATTCTTAGAAACATATTGCTGATTATTCTATTCTTTTTTAATGTCACCTAACACTGTGGGTGTTTCATCTCTCAGCAGAAGATGAGGGAGTTGGAAGGTTTATTATCTCTTCCTCCCTTTTCCCAGCAAGTCCTTTCCTGTTTCTGTGAACTCACAACTTTTTTTTTCCATTCAAACAGATACAGGGCGGTCACCACTCAAAGAAGAATATGGCTCTCCCTGGGCCTTTGCTGGCTAGTATCTTTCCTGGTGGGACTGACCCCCATGTTTGGCTGGAATAAAAAAGTGATCTCAGGGCTCTCCCAGAATATGACCACCCTTTCTTGCCATTTCCGTTCGGTCGTGTGTCTGGATTACATGGTCTTCTTCAGTTTCATCACCTGGATCCTCATTCCCCTCGTTGTCATGTGCATCATCTATCTGGACATCTTCTACATCCTCCGCAAGAAACTCAGTCAGAACTTGTCTGGCTTCCGAGAGACACGAGCGTTTTACGGACGGGAGTTCAAGACAGCCAAGTCCCTGTTCCTGGTTCTCTTCTTGTTTGCCTTGTGCTGGCTGCCGTTGTCCATCATCAACTTTGTTTCCTACTTTAAAGTTAATATACCAGAGGTCGCAATGTGCCTGGGGATCCTGCTGTCCCACGCGAACTCCATGATGAACCCTATTGTCTACGCTTGTAAAATAAAAAAGTTCAAGGAAACCTACTTTGTCATTCTCAAAGCTTTTAGGGTCTGTCAGAGCTCAGTTTCTTTGGACTCCAACACTGAACAGACGACTGACTAGTTACCACGACACATAAAGAGCCATCTTGCCAGCCTTCATGTTCAGCACCAACGAGCCCCATAGGCCTTATCGGACCTTCCTGTTTCCTTCCACTGCCGTGGGATCAGCTGACCAGTGGCCACACAGTTCCACTCCTCCGGTCTCTGCTTCAGTTATTTTCTTGCTCGGTTCTGCGGGAGCCTGACATGAAGACCATGAATGACTGATCATCATGGGCTGTGTCCTTCCTTCCCAGACACGAGAAGTAATGAAATCTCGGGGGTGTCTCAACTTACTAAAGAAAAATTCTAGCTAAGCTGGATGTACCGAATCTGCTTGGGAAGATTCCTAAGACATTGAGAACAGAGGGAGTGGGCTGAGTTTATAGAGGGCTTAACCGGCTAAGCTGACCTCTGTGGGTGTATTTAGGCAAATAAAAGATGATGGCCGCTGTTGTGCGGCTCTTGGCTGGGACCCTTTGGGGCTTGGAGTCTCAGGTGACTGCTTCCGGCCTTTGTCCCGCTCGCTTCCTGGAACACTGGTCCAAAATGCAGCCTCACCACAGGTGATTGTCTTCATTGGAAGGTTGTCTGCCATGCGAGGCTTTGATGTTCTTAGAATCCATGGCACCCGGGGGTTTAGGAGCCCTGGATCTGTTTCAGTCTGGAACAGGACATTTAAGAAAGCTGGCACTAAGATGTTAACCCGTGGCTTTGTGGTTTCAGCCACGAAGGGGGGGGGGGGGTGAAAGTTGGGTATCTAGATTGTACACAGCGGCTCTGTTTTGGTTCCTTCTCTGTTGCTGTCAACAAAGTGTCATGACCAAGACAGCAGAGAGGGAGGAGCTAATTTGGGCTTCTGGTTCCAGAGGGATAAGAGGCTATGAAGGTGGGGAGGTGGCGTAGCATCAAGGGGCAGGCATGGTGATGGAAGCAGCTCATTCATAAGCGGGAAACAGAGGGAGTGAACTGGAAGTGGCAGAAGGCTTTAGACGCCCACATCTGCCGTCAGCGCCATGCTCCTCTCAGCAAGGCTGCATCTTCCCATACCCTCTCAAACAGTGCCCCCGAGAGAGAGAAGACCAAGTATTTAAATGCCTGAGCTTGTGAGGAACATTCCTAATCCAAACTGCCACATACTCCTTGAATAATTAACAGTCTATACACATGCAGTGGCGCACGTCTTTAATCCCAACACTCGGGAGGCAGAGGCAGGTGGATCTTTGTGAGTTCAAGGCCAGCCTGGTCTACAAGAGCTAGTTCCAGGATAGGCTCCAAAACTATAGAGAAACCCTGTCTTGAAAAACAAAAACCAAAAACCACAAAACAGTCCAAAGGTAAGGAGATTGCCCAAAGGATACAGATGAAAAATGAAGGCAGAGTGCTAGTCTCCTAGTTATTTATAATTCCAAATGAAGAGTCCCCTCTTTTTTTTTTCAAAAACAATGTTTAGGTGCCTGTTATAATTCTAATACTGACTATAAGGCAAAAAGAGATAATTGAAAGCTCCCATCACTTTTGTGTGTGTGCATGTTACTGGGTGTGAAGGTGCATGTCTTGGGGTGGGGGGTGGGTGTACATAAAATTTTGCATATGGAGACCAGAGGACAAACTCAGATATCCTTTTTCCTCAAGTGCTATCCTCCTTACTTTTTGAAATAAATTCCCTTACCAGCTTGAGGCTCAACAGTTAGTGCAGGCCAGCAAGACCCAGGTATCAGCCTACCTCGGCCTCCCAAGGGCTGTGATTACGAGCATAGACCTTAGTGTCCAGTTGTGTGTGTGTGTGTGTGTGTGTGTGTGTGTGTGTGTGTGTGTGTGTGTACGTGTGTATTAAACTCTCCCTAGTGCTGCCAATCATTTTCTAGGTACTGAGATTTTAGGTGCCCATTAGACTCTGAAGCTGCAGTGGGTACAACAATTATTTTTATCTCCGTGTGAGGGTGCAGTCAATCATGGTAGGTAAGGTGTGATGATGTGTGTGTGAGGCAGCTGGTCACATTGTCTCTTCAGTTTGGAAAACAGGTTGACCACATTGATCAAGCATGGACACGCCTTTAATCCCAACACAGGGGAGGGGGGAGTGAAGCAGAGAACTCTGGGAGTCCAAGCCCAGCCTTGTCTGCATATGAAGTACTAGGCCAACCAGGGCTACATGGTAAGACCTTGGGATTGAGCAGGGAGGAAAATGAGAGAAGGTTGATCATCACAGTGCCCCTGTGGTTCCTTCCTTGGCCGCTAACCCCACGCTCTGGTTCATCAGGCAGTGGACGGAGTCAGCCACATCGTCCGAGACCTGCAGCTCCGACCCTCACAGTGCCCATCCTTGATTTTTCTATCTAAATCTGAATCTCCCCATAGAGTCTCGTTCCCAAAGATATAGTGTTGGTTTGATGAGAGCCTCAAGATGACAGTTCCAACTAAGCAAAGAGAAGCGGGGATCCAAAAGTGGAATTAGACCATAGCTATTCCTGAAGTTTGTCTGGATCCTAATGCTAGCCCAGAGCTATCATTTCAGCAGAGGCCCCTCATTCTCCTCCTGTTGTCTCAGAAGAGTCAAGCATGCCAGGCTTCCCCTTACTGAATCTCTGGTTTGGTTTGTGTCTGCCCCCAGGAAGAGGCCCTTGGTTTGCTGTAAGGCTTCACAACCTCTGCCCAGTTAGCTGGACAGTAAGGGGAAGTGCTGTAGATTCTTGGTTTCCTGATCATCTTCACTCTGTTGTAGCAATGCTCAGTCTCCCCTTTTTAAAGACTTAATTTAAAGTCTGAAGAGCAATCTGGGCTGGGTCTGTAGGTATCGTTAGGCCGTGGCTACAAGGTTTGAGAACTACTTTTACTAAATAAAGTCACTGCTGGCTTGCTGGGGGCTGGGCTGTCTCATTTTTGCCAAGTGAGAGTATCCCGAGATACAGGACTGTACCAGCTTGGAAGAAGCCAAAGCCAAAGTCAGAAGAAGCTGAAGCCTTGACATGTGAAGATACCCTTTTAGCATGAAGCCAAGGAAGGAGAACCAAAAACTTTGGCAACATCCTGAACTGAGTGTCTGTGGTTACCATGTGGAGCTAAGATGTCATTCAGGCCAAGCTGTTGCCAAGGGCCTTGTCTGGGTCCATGACCCTATAACGGCCAGGGTCTGGATTGACATATACAGCTCCTGTTGCCACTGAGGGCCATAAGGATGCCCAGGGTCAGGTCAGCGACCTGAGCCCAGGTTAGTGTCCAAGGGCCTTGATGCATGCAGATCTAGGGGGCCTGTGCTGCTACTCAATGCCATGGTGACATCCCAGCCAGAGATGCAGCTGAGGGCTATACCAGGGTCTGTGGTCCTACTGCAGCCAGGGTCTGTGCTGATGTTCGAGGTTCCTGCTATCATTGAAGGCTGTGCAGACACCTGAGGTCTAAGGCCATGCTGGTGCCCCAGGGCCACACTGCCTCTGGGGCCATGCCAATCTTAGTGACCTGAACTGCCACCTTGAGAATTGGTGACATCCAGACCAAGAGCCATGTCTGGGTTTGTGGCCGTACCGAGTTGGTATCTGTCTGAGTTCCACATTGCCCCCAAAGCTCACATAGTAGCCCAGGGTTGGGGCTGCAACCTGAGGCCTTGATGGCGTCCAGGCGTCTTGCTGTTGCCAGAACCATCCCAGAGCCAGAATGACTCCCGAGCCCAAGTCTGCTGGGAGAGCCATGTCTGGGCCCGTGGTCCAGCTGCAGTTGGGGTCTGTGTTGATGTCTGTGACCTGTGTCACCTCAGGGGGCCTTGGGAACCAATATAGATGAAATCACAGGGCCATGCTGAGCCAGCCTGCCCTTCGCTGGCCCAGGGAAAGCTGGCCTTACCTCTCATGGGACACTGCAGCAAGAGAGCTGGCTCCAACCCCTGTGGGAGAGCCGGCTCCGACCCCTGCGGGAGAGCTGGCCCTGCAATCGGGAGATGGTCCCACTCCTCACCAGAGGGTGAACCAACCCTGAGGGAATGGATGTAGGGGAGCTGACTCTGACCCTTCGCCTGAGGCAGGTGGCCCCAGAGGCCTGAACTGACCGGCTCAGCTACCACCCAGGCTCACAGCCAGGTCTTGGGATGGCCCACCCCATCTAGCTCATCTAGGACCTGCTGGAGCTTGTGAAGGGACTGGTGCTGGGGAACAACCCCTGCAGGATCTCTGTGACTTGCAGCAGCCACAGGATATCCCTCCCAGAGGAGTTCCGGCGAGGATCCAGCGATGATGGTGGACCAGACACCAGAGGCCTTGAACCAGACCAATGACTCAATGGCAATGAACATTTGCTAGTAAAGCTGATAGGACGAAAGGTTTATACTGTATAACACTCCAAGGTCCCCAATGGCAGCAGCATGAATGACGATGTGTTGGAGAGGCAGGAAAGAAAGAGGTTCTAATGTGGAGGGGGAAGTGCTGAGAGGGTGAAAGATATGGGGGAGGACCAGGAGGTGGGAGGAATTGGGGTGCATGACGTGAAACTCCTCCAAAAAATAAAGAAAGACGTCAAATTAAAGAAAAATTGGCTACAAGTAAGTAGACCCACCCTGGTTTCAGGTTTGGAGATGAGTGTGGCAGGGAGGGATCTTCCTATGAAGCCTGCCTCTAGCCAACACCCTTTCAGAGAAACCAGAAAGCTAACTAGGGCTTTTTATCTAAATGGAAAAGGAACAGAGACACCCAGACAAATTCAGAGATCGCTTTCTCATCTTCCATATGAAGACATTGAATAAATGTAGATGCCGAGTACATGGGTTTATTACTTGGATTTTTTTTTAAATAAATCAAGTAGAAATAGAGACTAGCCTACCAAATGTCACCAAACGGCTGTTAATTCTCTCTCTCTCTCTCTCTCTCTCTCTCTCTCTCTCTCTCTGTGTGTGTGTGTGTGTGTGTTTATTAGAGATTCTGCAGCTCAGATAGGCCTGAAGTTCACTATGCAGCCTAATCTATCATTAGAACTCATGGTAGTCCTCCTGCCTCAGGCTCCCCAGTACTAGGATTATAGGCATGAGCTACCACACCTAGTTCATTCTGAACTTGCTGTAGCGCTTGGCCCAGATTCAGGCCAGCAGAAGAGTAGGGAAACTTTGTAGTGGTGTTTGAGACTCAGAGGCCAGGTGTAGCGGTGCCCATCTGTAATTAGAGGTACTCAGTAGCCTGAGGCAGGAGAGCAAGAGAACAGACTGTGTAAGAGCACCATTCTCTCCCACAAAAAAATAAATTAATTAAACACACTGGAATTTTTTTTTAAGATGGGGTTTCTTTGTAGCTTTGGAGCCTATCCTGGAACTAGCTCTTGTAGATCAGTCTGGCCTAGAACTCACAGAGATCTGCCTGCCTCTGCTTCCCAAGTGTTAGGAGTAAAGGCGTGCACCACCACCATCCGGTCCATACTGAATTTTTTAAAAAATGTATTTTATGTATCAGTATTCTATCTGCATGTATGCTTGCATGCCAGGAGAGAGCATCAGACCCCATTAGATGGTTGTGAGCTGCTGTGTGATTGTTGGGAATTGAACTCATGACCTCTGGAAGAGCAGCCAGTGCTCTTAACCATTGAGTCATCTTTCCCGTCCAACACACTGAGTTTGTTTTGAGTATTCGAGGATTCATGAACAGAGCATCTGCAGACTGCAAATGGCTCCGCCACAGGGGACAGGTGGAGAGGGGTTTACTGAGTCTTGGTGGCAGCACAGCAGAGAAAATGTGTTTAATTGGTTAGGCAGTAAGCCTATTGCTAGAAGGTCAGTTGGGCAGCTGGTCGATTAACTTTGGTGGTAGCTGACAGATTAAGCGGTGAGTGTGATTCTACAGTGTACATGGAGTTGATCTTCAATTTGATGGTGTAGGAGCCCAAGGTGTTGGGGCCATTTCAATCCATTAAGTTTTTAAAAGCAGAAGTGTAGGGGGAAGGCCTTGAGCTGTGCCCTTGTTGGAGGGTGTGGGACATTTAGATGCTTCTGAATAGGTTGGAGGATGAGGCACCGGGACAACCACATGCCTCTGAACAGAGAGCACATCTGCTTGGTCCTAAACTGCAATGAGAGCCACAATAGAGGAAGCCACCGCTTACTCTACAAGCCGTGGTGATTTGAGGATAATTGTGAGCAGTAAGTGCCTGACTTCCGGAGACTGTTGTTAGAGATAATAACCCGACTCCCTAAAAATCCCTCTGACTGCAGGCTGGTCTGCTGCTTATTGTGGATGAGTGGCTGCTTTCCTGGGCAGCGTGCTGCAGGTTGTCAATCAGAATCTTATGCTAATAACCATCACTTGTTTGCATAATTTCCAGGCATGTTTTCAAGAAAAGTCCTTCTGCTAACCATGATAGCTGGGTAGGAGAGAAGTAAGGAAGCTGGCTTCCTCAGACAACAGTGTGCATGTAATTCTCTTGGCTAACTCTAAAGTGCCCTACAGTTTTGCAGGATTATTGCTCTCTCTTTGTGTGTGTGTGTGTGTGTGTGTGTGTGTGTGTATGTGTGTGTGACATAACGCAATGGAAAGAGGTTTTATTGCTGTTATTTTCCAAACCAGCTAGATTTCACATCAGATCACACTGACTCTACTCTACTGACTCTGTGAACTTGGACCCCGTAAACTCCTGTGTCTGCTCTCATTTGTAACAAGGGACTAATAACATTCATGGCAGAGTCCTTTTGTTTCTTAAAAAAATGTATATTAGTAGTCTGTGTGTGTGTGTGTGTGTGTGTGTGTGTGTGTGTGTGTGTGTGAAGGGCATATGTGACAGCACTCATGTGGAGGTCAAAGGATAGTTTCGTGGAGGTGGTTCTCTCCGTTTACCATGTGGGTTCTGGTGTCAAACTCAGGTTGTCAGGCTGTGTGGCAAGCACCTATACTGGCTGAACCATCTTCCTGGGCCCTCGTTCTGCTATTTTTCATTTTGTCAAAATCAAAAGTCGTAAAGTGGAATGAGTAGAAGAATGAGCTCTAATTTACCTATTTTCTTGTTTTAGTACTTATTAATTTATGGTCTCTTTTGTTGCATTTATTACTCCTGCCCTGTTTATCTTAGACTTTGGGGCTTCAAGTTATTTCCTCTATAAAAACTTATAAAAGGTGTTCTAAAAAAGTATTACTCGGTTTATTCTCCATACCTATGTCCTTTCTCCTTCCCTGAATCTAAAGATTAATTGTATCCTTAAGAGAGAGGAACAGGTACTGGTACCAGCTAACACTGATTGCCGGCATCTGCATACCACATCTTCTTATCTGTTTTATTTATTTGATGTTTCCGTGTGAGACAGGATCTTATGTACTCCAGGCCGGCCTTCTGTGGTATCTAATAGAGGATGACCCCGAACTCCCGATCCTCCTGCTTCCATCTCTGAAGTTCTGGAACTGCAGTGTGTGTCACCTCACCCCGTGCTCTCATTATTTATAATGTAACTTTTCCATTGTCTTGGGCAGTCTGCTGATATTTACCATATTCTCTTCTTTTCTATTTCTAATGACATTTTCTTTGGTCATTTTGTGCCATCTCTGAACAGACTAATCAGTTTTGCATATAAGTATTGACAGAGATAAGGACCGCGTTTTAAGAACTTAGAATTATTATTTGCTGGAGAACCTAAGACAACAAGCCTTTATTATCTGCTCCTGGTCTGTATGGGTCAGGAATTCAGGAACATCTTCTTGGACGGTTCATGTTCATGACATCATGTGAGATTACTGGGTCCGACACCTGAAAGTTTGATCATGGCCACTACCAAGGTGACTCTGGCAATAGTGATAAGGTGACATTGGCAAGGTGTTTCCTTTCCATGTAAGTCTTTCTGTTGCTTGCTTGAGTCCTCATAAATGATGGCCGACTCATTCAAGGTACAAAAGATTGGGGCAGAAGCTGGACCGTGTTTCAAAGACACACATCGTATTTCTGCCAAATTTTGTTTATCCTGAAGGCCAGCCCAGACTCGCCTTCAGATGGGCTACATAAGATCATTTATACCAAAGGACATCTGGTATGCCTGACTGGTGTGATTGGTTAGTTTTTATCAACATAAACCTAGACATATCTGAGAGTAAGAAATCTCAGTTGAGGACTTGCTTCCATCAAATGGTCTTGTGAGCAAATCTATGACGGTATTTCCTTTTTCCTTCCTTCCTTCCTTCCTTCCTTCCTTCCTTCCTTCCTTCCTTTCTTTCTCTCTTTCTTTATTTGTGGGTTTTTTGTTTTGTATTTTTTGAGACAGGGTTTCTCTGTAGCTTTTGGAGCCTGTCTGGGAACTAGCTCTTGTAGACCAGGCTGGCCTCCAACTCAGAGAGATCTGCCTGCCTCTGCCTCCTGAGTTCTGGGATTAAAGGCGGGTGCCACCACTGCCCAGCTGAGGGTATTTTCTTGACTGTCAGTTGATGTTTCAGGGTCCAGTTCACTGTGGGTGGTGCCATCCCTAGACAGGTGGTCTGGGCTATGTAAGAAAGGTAGCTGATCAGGCCAGGAAGAGAAGAGCAGAAGTGGCTTTCCTAGGCAGTCTCTGCTTTAGTTCATGCCTCGAGCTCCTGCCCCAGCTTTCCTCAACAACAGGCTGTAATCTCTAAGCTTAAATAAACCCTTTCCTCCCCCTAGTTACTTTTTCTTTTGGCCAGTTTTTATTGTTTTTGGTTTGTTTTGTTTTGTTTTTGACCATAGCAACAGAGAGGCTAACTAGAATAGGCGGGGACGAAACCATTAACATACCCAAAACAAAATGAAATATTAACAGCATCCACTACCTAGGCCCTGTAACGAGTTTCATATGTTATCATTAGCCAATACGGTTCACTGAACTTCACTGAATCTATTGATTCTTCTTTCTAGTCTTCTTTTTGTCCAACACATTTTGTTGGTTGAAACAGAGATCACCAGTGAGGAGCAGATAATGTAATGTGGGGGAAAAAAAACACTGTGGTGCAAGCTTGACGCACGCCCATATGCTGAATTCCTGTGAATGAAAGGGAGGCTCCCCTTTTCTCAGGAAAGGATGATATTTCACAATATAGAAAAGTCATCTACATCTGTCCCTTGGAAGGACGTGCTAGCTCTAGGGTGTAATAAGGAGCACCCAGTTTAAATTTGAGAATTTGGGGTGGTTCAGGAATTTGAACCTGCAAAACTAGTGGTCAGAAGGCATGCATCTGTCAGGAATCAGAGGTTGCTGCTGCTACCGCATGGAAAGACCTCTTTGATGGGTCCCAGTTCTATTCAGAAAAGCTTTCCAGAGTCTGGAATCCCCAGCCCTGAATGCTGACTGCTATACTCAAGTATTCTGTATTGCAGGCTACATACTTCTGGCAGCTGGCATGCTTCACCTCTAACCACACTCTCTAGCTCTCTAGGTCTTCACTGTTTGGGACTCAAGTTACTTAAGGATTTCTTTGCTGGAATTCTTCCCATATGAAAATGAACTGGGCCTCTAAGAATGAAGGAGGGACAAGAGGCACAGCCACACATGTCAAGAGAGGGTACAGTTGCTCACATGAACATGTTCCAGTAGCGATGTGTATACCTCTTCTGGGTGTCTATAAAGTGTGTCTGATGTGTATACCTCGTCTGGGTGTCTATAAGTGTGTCTGCCAAGTGGATTTAATCAAGGAGTGGGTTCTCCCGCTGCTCTGGGCAGCACTGGGAGCGCAGATTTTCGCAGTTGATGCAAAGACAACCAACATTTTATTTAGGAGTGATATCTCTCTGGTGTGTCCCCGGACACAACCTGGCTGCCCTGCACAGCAGCGCTGTGTAGAATTGACCGGCAGTTCTCCCTTCACGTGGGATAAAACCACCTTAAACCAAACATGTGTTTCCCTCATGCAGATCCAGCAACCCTGAGATCCTCTGTTCTTAACAGCTGAAGTCTGCTTCCTTCTCACCATGGAGCTCGTTGTCAGGTTCTCCTTGGCCCTCGTTTTAGGTAAATGTTGGTAAGGAACACCTCGCCCTCGAAGCCACAACCTTCTGGGGCAGCTTTATTTTCCTCTACTCAACGCCCCTCCTCAGTGTAGCGGTTTAAAGCACCTCAGCTGTTTATGGGGTAAGAGAAGGTGAAAATATGTCATGTTAACAGGCCCTATTGAGAGATCTTAGATCCTTACCTCTGATAAAGGAGTTGTGGGCAATTTGTATCCCTTGACTAAAATTGGAGCTCTGCAGTGCTTCCCCCTCCCCCGCCCCGAATGACCCCAATTCCCATTCTCTTCTCCTTTCCTCCCTCATATGTTTGCCTGGATCTAGGCAGACATGCTTATCTCCTTTCTGCCTAAGTCTGACACCAAAGATGGCACCCAGAAATGGGGCTGGCCCCAAGCTATCCCAGCTCCCAGTTGTGCTCCCTTTAGACCTAACTGCAGCTCTCTGTGGGTCAGCATCCTTGTCTATGAACTGAGGATCACAAGATCCTCTTGTCTGGTTATGATGAGAGGAGATTGACACTTGGAGGAATGTGTTATCTCCTGTAAGACACATCGGAAGCAGCCTCTTGGTGTGTGTGTGTGTGGGGGGGGGGTTCTTCACAGAACACACTTGGAAGGCTGAGAGCTATGGGTTCTACTGTCTCATCTCTCCTTTCTGATCTGATATTGTCCCAGCTACGGTAAAGCCGGATGTTGCATGTTTGACTTCCTCTTTATACAACGTCCTGACATGATAAAGATGCCCACACACTGGTCTTATATGGCAAACTCTCAGCCCCTAAAATCACAGGTCCCTTTATTTTTAGTCCTTTATAGTCAGAGAGAGCCTCCTAACCTTTCGCTTCCCTTTAGTGGCTGCCAAGGTAAGGGAGGGAACTAGGGACAGAGCTAAGGGGCTAGATGGTAAGACAAACCTCAAGTTCTTCAAGGCTCCTTGCATCTCACGCATTCTCGGGCGAGTAGAAGAGACTTCTCCAACAGTTATCGGTTCTAAGCACATTAATTAGGGCTGCCTACGTTCAGGGGAGGTCTTTTCCCCTTAGCTAGTTTTCTCTGGAAACACCCACATAGAAGCACCCAAAGCTATGCTTGATTAATCTAGGCATCCCAAATCCAATCAAGCCCACATCAGGATCACCTCTCACAGATCTTCAAATTAAAGGTTTCTTCAGAGTTGATGTCATTCTGGGGACTCTCTCCGCCTTGAAGATGGCTGCCTTCTTATGTGTTCACATGATTTTGTCTAACTTCATCTGTTTTTAAATTTTTAAATAAGAATACCAGTCATATTAAATTCAGAACTACCATAATGGGGACTGGAGAGATGGCTCAACAGGTAGCTTAGAACCATCTACAATTTCAGTTCCAGGAGATTGGACATATTTTTATGACCTTTGGGCTCCAGGCATACATGTGGTGCACTTATATACATGTGATACACTTATACACATGTGTTGCAATTACATACATGTGCTGCACTTACATACATGTATTGCACTTATGCACATGTGGTGCACTCATACACATGTGGTGCATTAATACACACGTGCTGCACTTATATACATGCAGAAAAACCACCTATGCACATAAAATACAACAAAAAACTTTAAAAATTTTTCTTAAAGAGAGCCACCCTAATTATCTAATTTAAAATAATTTCTTCTTAAAAGTCTTTTGTCCAAATGCAGTCACATCACATTCTGTATAGGGATTAAGGGATCAGCATGTGAAGGATGCCCATAATAGTGACCAAATTCAAATGGACAAAACCCAAATTTCAATTAACTATCTTTCAGGAGAGCAGGAGGTTCAGTGTGTTTCCAAGAATAATGAACTCTGTGTGTATGTGTGTGTGCTTGTGTGTTCACAGACACCATGGTCATGGATGAAAAGGTGAAGACAGGTGTTGAGCTGGACACAGTTTCTGCTAGCTGTAACTATGATGCCCACTACAAGAACCACACCAAGTACTGGTGCCGAGGCTATTTCAGGGACTCGTGCAACATTATCGCCTTTACCCCTAACAGCACCAACCGTGTGGCCCTGCAGGACACAGGAAGCCAACTCATCATCACTATGTCCTGCCTGGTCAAGGAGGACACAGGCTGGTACTGGTGTGGTATCCAACGGGACTTCGCCAGAGATGTCATGGATTTTACACAGCTGATTGTGACTGACAGCAGAGACGGCCGGGCCAGTGGTTTTCCACCTGGTAAAGAGACTGGCAAGGGATGGTTGAAGGGCAGTGGGTGTTTTCTGAGGCAGGAAATACTCGCCGAAGGGTCCAGGTCTGGTGGTGCACACCTTTAATCCCCACACTCAGAAGGCAGAGGCAGGTGAATCTCTGGGTGTTCGAGGCCACCTGGTCTACAAACCTGGTTTGGTTTCAAATGAGGAAGAGCTCTTCTTCATAGGAAGAGCTATGAGTGAGATCCTGTCTCAAAAAATAAAAGACACAAAAACCACCTCACTGAAGGCAGAGGCCACCAACTCAAGTTCCTCTTGTATTACTTGAGGTAACCAGCTTTCTCGATTCCACTCTGCGGTGGGGGTGAGAGCTGGGTAGAATTTCGTAGGAAATAAGCACATCTGAGCCCTGGGGTGTGCTTGTAACTTCCCTTTCCTCACAGCAGTCTGGCTCGCAGACCTTGGAAGGCCCTGGAAAGTCTCATAGGCGTCAGATCTTTGACCTGATGGTCAAGGCTTTGAGGCTGTAGTGAAATCTCAGCCTTGCAGGTCTAGAACCTTGGAGATTGGCTTGAGAAGTAACTGAGGCCGCAAAGAGAGGTTTCTCGAAACTGGACAGCTTAAAAAAATTAGTAATTAATATGAATTAAATAGAGCGGTCAAACTTGCCAGCACCCATCTTTACTCAGGTGGAATGCAGGAGGATCCTGGGAGGGACAGGCACCAGGGAGTAAAGTCTGCCTAAGCCGGACTGGGATTTTGAGCTGGAGCTAACTTTCGGGCTCTCCCAGTGTTCTCGTGTTCTCACGCCCCTTCTCCGGTGCATGGAAATCTCTTGGGTGCCAGGGAGCCCCTGTCTTCCAGGCAGAGAAACATGGACGGCACTAGCTGTTCTCCTGTTGTTCCCGTGTAGAAAAGTGATGTGTTTTCTGTCGCTGGAGCGCAGCTACCACAGGAAACCCCACCAGAAGGACTTGTGGGAAGCCTCACACCCACACCACCTCTCCAGTTCTCGTGCCGGGAAGAGCCTTGCTCAGATTTAGTCTACTGGTAACTGATGCAGCTCGCATCCCACTGAGTGGGTAACATCCACACTGGCTGTGTTTTCGCTTTGTATGTTTCTGCTTTTTATAGCGTTTCCTGAGTTTTTAGTTCAGGAAGAGACGGGTCTTCTTTAAATTTGCCCCTTTGAAGAAACATGGAGGAGGTGATGTGGGACTCCCCGATGGGTTGTTAGTAGCTATCAGAGGAACTATGTCACAGGTTGACTCATTCCCTAAGGATGGGTCTGGCTATTTGATACATCAAGACTTTTTTCCCTTGGGAGTGAACCTAGCCTGGGTCTCCAACCATGAACTGATTTTAGACTGCACAGGGCCTTTGTGCAAATCTGGGAAAGGTGTCCCTTCTTCTGGGTGCAGAGGCTCCAGTCGCAGGGTGCATAACTTTGCTAGTGCACTGTGAGTTGGATTCCAGCCCTTACTTCTCTTCCCAGACTTGCTCCCTGTCCAGGGCATGTTACTACAATAGTGTTGTCACTGGCTTGTACAAAAAGCCAGTAATGCACTTCCTCTCTGGAGAGCAAGAGGAAGACGGGATAGGGATGCAGCTGGAGTCAAAGGAAGGGCCCCAAAATGGGCTTTTATTCTCAACACTTTCTTCCTGATTCAGACCCTCCAGGGAACAGGACCCGGAGCTGTAGGACTTCCAAAGCTATCCAAAAGGCGAAGGGCTTCAGGTGAGTAGGGATCTGAGGAGATGATGAGGTAGGGGTGGGGTGGGGTAGGATGCGGTGGGGTGGGATGAGCCACAACACGTTAGTGACTGCTTCACACCTTCTACTTTTCATCTGTGTATTGTTTCTCTACCTAAACTATCTTACTTGTAATTGTTTGGTTTCTTAAAAATGACTATTTCTGTTTGAAAGCAGAAAATAGCTTCTGGTTACTTTATTTATTTATTTATTTATTTATTTATTTATTTATTGAGAAAGGGTTTCTCTGTGTAGCCCTGGCTGTCCTGGAACTTACCCTGTAGAGCAAGCTGGCCTCAACTCACAGAGATCCACCTGCCTCTGCCTTCCGAGTGCTGGGATTAAAGGCATGTACCACCGCCACCAAGCTTAGTTACTTTAATTTTGAAAGGGGGCATTATCCCAGAGGGAGAGAATCCATGTCTGAAACACAGGGACGCGGGCAAAAGAGGAGCCAAGGACTCACTAGGACTTTATCTTCATCTCATACAAAGGGCAGAGTTACTCTTTACAGACTGTAGTTGTCAGGAGCTACTGGGGCTGGCATGGGTGTGGCGGTGAGAGAAGAAAACCAAAAGAGGTTTCCTTCCAAAGGACCTGATATCCGATGTGATTTCTTCTAGAATGTTCATTCTGATCATTTGCATACTGATTACTGGTTTGGAGATCATCTTTATAATCAGTCTTTTGTCCAGGGGAAGGAGAAGCCGAAGGAACAGAGGAGGAGGTAAGCAACCCGGGGTAGAGCCAAAGAGTATCTTTCACAGGAATAAATGTGACTCTCCTCTTGATGCCTGGTCACTTAGGTACCAAGGCAGTTAGCCAGTCCACAGTCTAAGGAGGATAGAACCTCCTCATAGTGACAAAGGCATCATGGGAAGCAGAAGGAACACTGTGGTCTTAAGTGGACGTAGGTGTGGACTGGAAAGAAGGAAAATAACCACACTGCAGGACCCGTATCTGTGGGGCTCCTTGACGCCACGGCACAAGCATTGGGGAATAGCCTAACAGCCTTACTCTTGGTTTGAAACTTTTTGTTCACCTGTAGGGATGGGGTCAAGGCTCTTGTGTAACGCCCTCCCCCAGTTCGGCAGGTGGTTGGGCCCAGGGACCTAAGACCTCAGCTTTCTGTCTTTGTTTTTCTTTGGATAGTTACTGGTAAAAGCATCCCTAGAAGCCCTCAGCCAAACCAAATTCCTTCTGTGATCTCCATACCTTTGGTAAGTTCCCTCCTTGATTCCTCAGTACTGAGTCCTGAGCGCCTTCAGAACTCAGTCGTTAGTTCTTGCCACTCATAGAGAGGAGACTGTGTGGTCGTCTGTCTTTCCCTGTGACGCAGGCAGGTCCTACCATTTGGAAAGTTCTCTAGGTCACCATAAAGAACACCTCTGTTTGGCCAAGGCAATGCCGTTAGCTTTTGGCTTTTTATGATTGGAAACCATGGAAACACCTTGGGCAAAGAAGAGACTGTAGCCATAGTTACAAAATGGATTCCAGTCATCCTTCCTGGGCTTAGAAACATAGAAAAGCAACAGTTCAGAGAAATGATTAATATAAAGGAAACAAACAAAAGCCTCAGACTAGAAACCCCATGCCGTCACCAAATCTGAGTAGCATCTGAATGATGGGAGGCCTGTTAGTGACACACGAGGGGCCCGGGCCAGCAGGATCTGAAATGTGACCAGAGGCTACAGGGTCTCAGGCTGCCCCTGTGCGGGTTGGGTCCCATGAAGACACAGAACAAGCTATCTAAGACAGTAAAGGAGTGGCTCCCACAGCGTTCCTACCTTTTTGCCCTAGAAGCTTTGGGAACAGTGGAGGTGAGGGATATGATCAAAGCAACACCCCTCAGAGCTTGTCTAGGCTCCTTCTAGGTTACAAGTTTTTTTTTGTTGTTGTTGTTTTGTTTTGTTGTTTTTTGAGACAGGGTTTCACTGTAGTTTTAGAGCCTGTCCTGGAACTAGCTCTTGTAGACCAGGCTAGTCTTAAACTCACAGAGATCCGCCTGCCTCTGCCTCCCGAGTGCTGGGATTAAAGGCGTGCGCCACTACTGCCCGGCTGTTTGTATTTTTTTTTTCAGGAATTTATCATCACTGCTTTAAGATATGACCCTGGGCAACATTGTTTTCCCAAGCCAGTTTTTCTCTACATTTTTCTCCCTGTTCCTATACGCCTCTGAGTTTTCTATCCATCTATCCACCCATGTCCCACCCACCTCCCCACCCATGCATCCTTCATTTTGCAAACTAAGAATATGCTAGTTGCTGAGGTTACAAAGACAAATTAAATAGGTAGCACCTGTCTTCATGGATCTTATGGTGTAACCCAGGAAAACAGCAGGGCAGCCATGGCGTACCCAGAAGCCCAAGTAGAAGGATCTCGAGTTCAAGGCCAGTTTGGACTAAATGAGTTCTAGAGCAGCCTAGACTGCAGAGTGTGGTTCTGTCTCAAAAATAAAGTGCTGTGGTGAGGTGGAGGAACACAAGCAACCACACCTGAATACAGACGCAAGGTTGTCCAGCAGAATCAGTGAAGGAGGCAGGATACTGTATAATAGGAAAGAACAGAACCCAGTGCCGTTCTCTCAACAAGAAGTCAGCAGCCTGTTCCAGCCATGGCCTGATTCTCATACTTGGACACACTTCGCAGGCTGGACTAAAGCCCCTTCTCTTTTTGTTATTCTTGGGCCCTGCAGTTCGGATGCATTCATACTGTCAAAACTCAGTGAGAGAAGGGCTTTGCCTACAGTCTTGCAGAGATGACATCAAACTCCAGCCCTGAAAGCAAACTTTAGTGTTTGCAGGGCTGCCAAAGTGGCTCAGCAGGTAAAGGTGCTTTGCCACCAATCCTGTTTAAGCCCCAGGGCTCACATGGCAGGAAGAGAAACAACTGTTGTAAGCTGTCTTCTGACTTCCACATGTGTGCTGGGAACACAGAGCACTTGTGTATCCTCCACTCTCCCCTACATGAGGGGGCGGGGGAAGAGGGGAAGAGATACAGAGACGACAGAGAGACAGAGAGAAACAGAGAGAGAGAGAGAGAGAGAGAGAGGAGAGAGAGAGGAAAGAGAGAGAGAGAGAGAAGAGAATAAATAAGTAAATAAATAATCCAAACGTGGATGTTTTGTGCCCAGGCAGCCAGCTCAGGAGTGCCAGGAGTGGTTCCCACAGCATCCCTTGCCTTTTGCAATCTGGAAACTTTGGAAAGTGTGGAGGTTGGAGATGCTTTGGTTTGTTTGGAAAAGAACCCTGAGTCTGGGAATATAATCTTTAATTTAGAAGAGAGGAAAATAGACTCAGAAGAGTGAAGTTTGTAGGATTTTTTTTGGGGGGGGCTGATAAATCTGGCAAGAGCCTCCAACTCCGTTTTCCTTTTCTATTTCCCAACAAAGTAGGCAACGATTTGAAGTTCTTTCCACATGTCCTGACTCGAGGAAATGGCCCAAACTGAACACACGTGACTGAAGATTTCCTTCATTTAGTTCCCAAATAGAGTGATATTGTTACAGTTGAATCTCCATGACAACCAGCCTGCATCTCAGAAATTGATTCTGACCTTTTGGAATTTCTAAAGCAATCTTTCGTGGCAAGGTGACAGCAGCGGTGGTCAGGGAAGCTACGACAGATTCTGCCAAGCAAGGCTGCTACTGAATAATATCTCCAGATCTTAGCTCTCATGCATTAGATTCGCTGACGTGAAGAAGAGGCACAGAATCCAGGACAAGGGGAAATGACTTGTATTTTATTTATCAGCCAATAAATGTATGAATAGTGTTGAAAGAGCCCCCATGTATGACTGACTTCTCCTAGCCCATCACTGGAAAAGCATTTCTTGACATTTTCCTAAAAAGCATGACATTCCAATACATTTCTGAACAGGTATTAAATGCTGTTTATCTAAAAATAGGAGACAGATTGAGTCTGTGGTTCTCGTAGCCCGTGGGTGAAAAGATTGTGCCCCCCCTTCATACATCCTCAATGGGAACCAGTCACCAGAGTAACTGGGTGCTGCTCTGACCAATAAGTAACCAAAGGGTGACAAACGGCAAATGCTTTCAAATCAGGAAACAAGAGGCAAGAATGAGGCATCGTCATCTGCGGGAGCCAGCAGAGTCACATCATTGGTGCAGGATTACTGCTACCCCACACGCTTCCTTGCAACCTGCAACCCTCTCCCCATACGGTGTCCTTCCAGCTGCTTCATCATGGCCTTTACTGCCCTCCTAAGAACCCTGGTTTTCCGTGGGGAAAGTGCACATTCATGTGTGCGCTTGTATATGTGGAGGCTGGAAGAGTACCTCAGATGTCATTCCTCAGGAGCTGTCCACCTTGTAAGAAACAGTCTCTCTCACTGGCCTGGAGCTTGCTGATTAAGCTAGGTTAGCTGAACGATGAAACCCAGAGACACTTCAGACTCTACATCTTCAGGGCTAGGATGACAAGCATGCCCTACAACTACCATGCCCCACATTTTTGCACAAGTTCTGGGGATCAAAGTCAAGTTCTTGTTCCTGCAAGACAAGCCCTTTACTGTTTGAGGCATTTCCCTAGTTTCAGAAACCCACAGTTTAATATGCCATGGTTCATTCTGATGGAGTATAGGCCCACCAGGCTCAGACTCAGAATCTTCAAATGGTCCGCTGGATCAGAACGGGGTTGGAATGGAGATTGCGTGTTGACCAGATTCTGTATATATCTTGTCAGATTAGCTCGTGGCTCTTGCAAAGCCTTTAATGAGGATGGTTTGGGCTTTGTTCCAGTTCCTTTCTATTGGGAGGAAACTGCAAGTCTCTCAGCAGCCTGAGGGGAAGGGGAAGGTTATGGATATCATACCTGCATACTTGTAGCCTTCCTCCATTTGAGTCTCAAACACCAAGAAATGCTCTCCCTCTGCCCCTGACCAGTCCCAGTTTTGCCCAGTGGCCATGGTTGAATTTATACACGGCAATTTACCAGGTACTGTACTCTTAAGAGAAAATTGACTGTTTGTTTCCCAGCAGCTAATAATTGTCTATAGTTCTTCAGTTAGGGGTGGGATTGTGTCCAACTTACCTCTCTGTGCTTGGGCTTGCACAGGTCTTAAGAATGCTATCACCAGGCAGTGGTGGCGCACGCCTTTAATCCCAGCACTCAGGAGGCAGAGGCAGGTGGGTCTCTGTGAGTTCGAGGCCAGCCTGGTCTACAAAGTGAGTTCCAGGACAGCCAGGACTGTTTCCCAAAGAAACCCTGTTTCGAAAAACCAAAAACTAAAAACCAAAAGATAAAGCTGTCACAAATAGCCGAGTTGATATTTATTTTGTGTGTGTGTGTGTGTGCATATGCATGTGTGTGTACATGTACACACAGCACAGAGTAAACATGAAGGTTATATGATGATTTTCAGGAGTCAGTTATCTCTGTCCACCATGTAGGTCCCAGGGCTCGAACTCTCGAACTTAAGTTGTCAGGTTTGGTGGCAAATGTCCTTATCTATCTCACCAGCCTTCATATTTATTTGATAATTTTTTTCTTCTTGTTTAGTACTTACATTTTAAAGTACACTTGCCTAATTAAAGAGAACCTTCCTGATATTTTTAATGAGGCAGTCTATGATTGTCCCTTTGTTTGGGGGGTAAATTAATGTTTTATTTTTACCTTTGACTTTCAACCAAGGTTGTCACACACCTCTCTAATGCTCTATAGAGGAGAGAGAAACCCACATTTGACTAGTGTTTTACACAGTATGGACTTTGTGTTGGTTGAGAACTCTGATATTGACTTCTGGAGAAGATGATGGGACAGAGTGCTAACTGAGGAAGAAGGGGCCAACCCTGGAGGAGGGGCTGCCATTATTTGAAAATCTTAGACTGTTCGCTAGGGTTGGCTCCTCCCTGGTTATCATCAGTGAATTTTTTTATCTTGAACTCCGTTCCCCTTTGGAAAGTGCAGGGAAGTTGCTCAAGGGGCTGTTGCTGCCAGTCGGAATGAAAGACCTGCAGCCTCTCGTCTGGCAGGGTTTCCCCGCACAGAAGACAGCGCTGCCAGAACAAGTCTGTGTGCCTCCGACTGCAGCTGCCCATAGGCTGTGCTCCTAAGTCTGTAGGAAACAAACAACCAAAGCAAACACACAGAACAAAGCCAGAAAGCAGCATGTAGCTGGAGCTGAGCTGAGGTCCTGCGTTCGGCCTCATTGAAGAGGCAGGGATGGGTCCGCTACTTTAATCTCAGAGTAGACAGTGGGGTCCAAGCCTGTGGAGCGGTTTCCAGTCAAGCCATTGCCGTTTTCTTCCGAGGACTTGAAAGTCATGCTGGCGTAGGTAAGTGACTCCTTGGATGCGGATGAAAGCTTACGAGGAGAAAGAGGAGGAATAGTGAATTTGCAGTAAAAGGTGTTCCTTTGAAGGCGTCCCGAAAGCTTCCATAACTGGGGACCCAAAGAAGAACCCATAAAAGAGTCACTTGCCCAGAGTCCAGGAAGTGACCCCAATATCCCAGCCCGTAACCCAGTATGTAGATGACACAGAACAAACCAACTCCCCCCAAATAAATTTCACACCACCTTCATCACTCTCTGTTCCCCTCTCGCAGCCCTAAAACAACGGCATGGTCTTACCTTGCTAGGAGGCTCCGAAAGAGGGTCCTGGGCCTGAGCGCTGGAGTAACCTGCAGCAGAGGCCAAAAAGAAGAGGGTTATACTCTCACCGTGGGGTCTAGAGCAGCGGGGAGCCTTTCCCTTCAACCTTGGGTGAAGGTTAGTAGGTAGGGGTGTAGGGGGAGAGAAGCAGGGAAGAGCAGGGAGGGCCTCGAGGTGGGTCTGCGGGGAGGGCGGGCTGAGCGGGCCTTCTCTCCATCACTTCCCCATCACTCATTGCTCATGCTCTTCTCAGCGGCAGCAAGAGAAGGCTCATCTCACAGAGCCCACTCACTTCTTCGGCAGCTCTTGATGATGAAGAAGATAAGGGCCACGATTAGCAGTGTCAGCAGAACCCCAGCAAAAAAGGCCAAGATCAAATGTTCCTTTCTGTGTTGGCAAAGAGAGGGAGTAGGTGAACTGCTGGCAGGGGCCTCTTGGAGCCTTTCCCGGCAACCAGGCATAACTGTCTTGCTTAGGCTCTCACGTGGGCCGATGGACTTGCTCCCACCCTCTGCTTGGGAAGAAACATTTTGCTTTCGGGTTCCAGGGGCATCTGAGACTCTCCCAGTCCTACCCTCAAGACTCCACACCTCAGCACTGTGTAGTTCTGGGGACTCAGGATCTCTCAAATCTTGGGCAATGCTGAGTTCATACCACTTAGAAACCAGCACTTGGAAAGCTGAGGCAGGAAGATTGTGGCAAATGGAAGCCAGAAAAACAAACTGGGCTACGTTGTGAGGCGTGCTCAATCTCCTCCCCACCCCCACCCTGCACTCAAAACAGCATAGCTATATACTCCTAAGATCAAACACTGAGTTCTTTCACTGTTCCTGATCTCTTTTCACACTCAGACTGCCCTTCATAAGGCCCCAAGACAAAATAGTCAACAAAACACCAGCGCCGCATAACTTGGATAAATGTGTTCCTTTACTTGGGTTTGGAGAAACAGGGTGCAGAGCTGGTCACTGGGATTGTCGTGGAGACTGTGCCTGCAGAGAATATGAGAGGGATCAGTTTGGGGGGATAAGTGTCCCCACCCCTTCTCCTTCCATTCCCTCCAGGATGAGACCCCAAGTACCTCCACTACCCTTGGGGACTTACAAGTGGGCTACCGCTTTGTAGAGGGGAGAACAGTGGGTCTTTTTTGCCAGAGCTAGGCAAGTGAACCCAGAGCCTTTTGCATACCAGGGCAAGCCCTCCACCACTGAGCTATACCCCAGCTGAGACCTTTAAGATGAGATGAAGAGCTAGGATGAAATGGTATAGGAACTAAAGAAGCAGGGGGCAGTATCCAAAGCCCTGTGTCCCTTATACGAACAAATAACATCCTGTGTTTCCCTAAGGTCTAGTGGGAAGCCCTGGGGAGATGTGGATCCTTTGACCTCAGTAGGCACTCCCCAAACTCCTCCTGACATCTCCCCCAACTGTGTGTGTGTGTGTGTGTGTGTGTGTGTGTGTGTGTGTGTGTCTTTCTGTCTGTCTGTGTCTTTTCTAGTGCCTAACCCACAGGGAAGGAGAACGAGAAGAAACATGAACTAGATTTTCTTAAACTACTAGCTGATCAACTCAGTTTGGAGAGCCAATAAGGTCTTTCTGATTCCTTTTTCTATTCATTCCTTGGGGGCACTGATTTCTGCATTATGGGAAACTTGAATGCTAACTCAGAAATGCTCTAGCGAACACTGTCCCCTGTGGAGTTTTCAACGCAATTCCTTCTTTTGCCAAGTTACTGTAAGTGCCAAGGGAAGCAGTGACTTCTGTCCCGGACTCACTGGTTTCAGGTTTAGATGTAGAGGAGCCAGATCCCATGCTGTCTTCTCCTGAGAATAAAACAGGTACTCTTTAGCTTGGTATGGAGTCTGGGCATGGCGGGGCATTCCCTGGGGTGTAGGTCAGAATGGGCTAATCCTACCGTGGAGGTGCAATGGGGCATCTTCGGTGCTTTGTTCACCCGGGCATGTACATGAAGTTAGAACTGAACCCTAGCATTGCTCTCTGTGCGTTTAGAGATATGCAGCTGCTGGGTGTAGTGTGATATGTCTCTAATCCCAGCACTGGGAAGGTGGTAGGATGAGGAGGATCAGGAGTTCAAGGTCAACCTTTACTAAGCAGCAAATTTCCAAGTTAGCCCAGGTAACATTTGAGGCCCTATTGCAAACGAACAAACAAAACTAAGGAACTGGAGAGATGATGGACTAGTGGCTACGAGCACTTAGTGATCTTCTAGAGGACAAGGATTCAGGTCACATCTACAATTCCAGTCCCAGGGGATCTGATACCATCTTCTCGCCTGCACTAATACTGCATGCACATACATGAAAATAAATAAAACAAGCAAACAAACAAATAAAACCAAGAAAACTACTAGCTGTCAATCAATCAATCAATCATTCAATCAATCAATCAGTTTGTCAACCAACCAATCAATCTATCACTCAAAAATACAAAGCAAAATCCAGAACTTTGGGGGGCACCAACCCACTACCACTGTGTGGCTTTGACACACCTGATGACTCCTCCATTGTAACACAGAATGACACACTGCACTTCTTTAAAGTAATCTGAGATACGTGGTAGCTTTTCAGACATGTATGCATCTCATTAAACGATCTCTAGGTATTATTAAAATGAATGCAAAGAAGAGACTGGAGAGATGACTCAGTGGTTAGGACCATTTGCTGCTGCTCTTCCAGAGGACCCAGGTATGATCCCCAACACTCACATGGCAGCTCACAACATCTGTGACTCTAATTCCCAGGGATGCCTTCTCCTGACCTCTGTGGGCACCAGACAAGCATGTGGTGCACAGCATTATGTCTAGGCAAAACACAGAAACGATAAAGCATCTAAGGGCAGGAAAGCAGTATCACCTGGATCCCTAGTGCACATTGCTAGCTGAGTGGATGCCTTTTAGCCACACCCTGTGCTTTATTAAAGCCGCCTGAAACATTGCTTCTCATACAAGGTCAGATCTGGTTTTTGCTCAACATTTTATGTTCATGCTTACACACTTCTAAAACCCTTGCAGAACAGTTTAAGGGTGACTGTCCTTTCTGCTGCAGTACTTCTCCACCCTGTTTGTAGAGATACTTTGCAAGATGTTGCACAGGTGTCAAAGACCAAAGACAGTCCCAAAACCTGGACAGCATAGACCAAGCTCTTTCTTACATGCTGTCTTCGTTAGGGCTACTAACGAAGTTGGAGAGGAAAGGATTTCTTTGGCTTACACTACCACCTTACTCTTCATCCCTAAAGGAAGCCAGGACAGAAACTCAAACAGGGCAGGAACCTGGAGACAGGAGCTGATGCAGAGGCCATGGAGGCGTGCTGCTTACTGGCTTACTTCCATGGCCTTGCTTGGCCTGCCTTATAGCATTCAGGACCACCAGCCCAGAGATGGCACCACCCACCACAGGCTGGACGCTCCCCCATTGATCACTAGATGAGAAAATGCCTTACAGCTGGATCTCATGGAGGCATTTCCTCAAGTGAGGTTCCTTCCTCTCTGATGACTCTAGTTTGTGTTAAGTTGACACACAGAACCAACAAGTACACATGCCATACCTGTGAAGTTTCCTTTAGAAAGTATTACAGAGAGGGATTGGCTACAAAACTAAAATAAAACATGGTAATCACAGGATTATACCATGGTAAAAGCTATTTAAAACATAGTTGTTATTTATGGAAATTTCCCGTTCGTGCTTTCAAATATAGTTGACCAGAAAGAACCGAAACTGTGGTAGCAGACTCGTGTTCTAGCATGTTATTGAGCACAGATGGATGTTCCTAATCAGTTCCCAGTTTACACAAATGTTTTCCAATTCGTTAATAACTAACAATGAGACTGGTGCTTTTATGTATAAAATTTTGGCTACAACCCTGGTTATTTTTTGGTGACCACAATTTTAATTAGTTATTTAGGCAAACCTGTGACAAAAAAAAGTTGGAGTCTCTACAATTTCTGGTGAATTTGAAGGTGATTTATTAAGACAGAAAACGTCATAAACAGTTCACATGTTTTAAGCCATCAGCTCTCATAAGTGATTGTTCCCAATCCTTAGACAGGGGAAGACTTTTGAAATTAAAAAACATATTTGTGGGGTATGTGGGGTGTACATGTCAAGGACAACTTTCAAATCAGTTCTTTCCTCTCACCTTTATATGGGATCTAGGAATCGAACTTGGCTTCCTGTCCCCAAGTGCCATTAAAACAGTAGTGAGGCAGCGCTATAACACATCTGGTCACTCAGCAAGCACTGTCAGATCTGTCACTGTCAGATCAAAAGGAAATACTGACAGGAAAATTTGGGGAGAAGTCTGAACTATGAAAACAGAAAGACCATAGTCCACGCAGAATCAGCAGGGATAATGATTTTTCTATCAATCATTGGTTCTTTTTGAAATTTATGTTGGTCGTGTGAGGTGGTACATGCTTTTAATCCCAGCATTTGGGAAAGCAGAGGCAAATGAATGTCTGTGAGTTCGAGGTCAGCCTGGTAAACATAGTGAGTTCTAGGACAGTCAGGGCTACATAGTGAGATCCTGTCTAGAAATAAAACAAAATAAAATAAAAATAAAACAAGTCAATAGTATTCATTTCAGAACATCATAAAATATTAGCACATCTTGTATTTTATTACAGTATATACTTGTGATTTCTATAAATATATATATTTAAATTGTTGAAATATTTTCTTCCCGAGGAATGGGGATTTCCACTACATCTTACATTTAAAACTACTCATGACTTTCTGCTTTTGCAGCAGTGGCTCTCTATATGAACGGGCAATCCAAATAAATAGTATCCCAGAGAAACAACTTAGGTCACTCTACCCTTGCAGGCTAAATCATCTTACAGCACCAGAGAAACAGCTACTTACAAATCCGGGAGGCAAAAACAATAATACATCCAGAGGTGGTAGCACACTTGTAATCCCAGCACTTGAGAGACTGCCTAACTGAGTCTTCATGGCAGGAGACTTGCCATGAGGTCAAGGCTAGCGTGGATTAAACAGGCTGTCCCAAAAATCTAAAACAAGTCTGGCATGGTTGACTCACATTTTTAATCCCAGCATTTGGCAGAGGCAGGCAGATCTCTTGGAGTTCAAGGACAGCCTGAGTTCTAGGCCAGGCAGGGCTACATACCCTGTCTCAGAACAAAAACAATCTACCAACATAAGGGCCAACGAGATGGCTCAGAAGGTAAAGGCACATACCCCACAACCCTGGAAACCTGGGTTCAATTCCTAGATCCCATGTAAAGGTGAAAGGAAAGAACTGACCTTAAATTTGTCCTTGACATGTACACACACATACACACACACACACACACACCACAAATATTTTATTTCATAAGAAAATAACAGTAATCCAAATATGTGACAGAAACAGGAAGTTGAGCCAGAAACAATGGTGTTTGCAGCGTGATCTGGCACAAGAGACTTATGAGACTTACCTACGAGACCTGTGCCACACAGTCATTCAATCCTTCACCCACCAAATGGTGAAACCACCATGAGAAACCAGAAACCACCAAGTAAAAATTAAAATGTCCTTTGATGAACACTTACTTAGTATGGATTAGAAGGTTCTTTAATTTACCTTTCCAGAAAAAGTTCAGTCAAAAGATGCAGTTGTCGAAGACGAAACTTGCTTCTCTTCCTCGTCTTTTTCAGAAATGGTGAAACAGAGTTTGCTTCCACTGCCACTGACACCATCTAGCTGTGTCGCAAAGATATGTTTAAGTCCAAGCCACAGACTTCCTCTTTGAAACCAATGATATTTTTTCCCATTCCCTGGCTTCTCTGTCTTTACAATGGGTCTCTTCTCACAGAGGCTAGGCTGGCCTTAAACTGGTATGGATGACAATGACCTTCCAACCTCCCTGCCTCCATGACCTTCCAATCTCCCTGCCTAAACCTGCTGCATGCCAGGATTACAGCACATAAACATGCCTGGTTTATGTGGTGCTGGGATTAAACTCAGACCTTCAAGCACGCTGGTCAAGTTATCTACCAATAAAGCCACACCCCCGCCCCAGTTTCACATTTGTAAAGGCCCCATAACCATGACAGTTGTTGGCGTACATTTTCACACACAAATGCCATACCGCAGAGGAAAGTTCATTGCTTATCCTCCCTGAAGCAACTGACACCAGCATGAATGACATCATCACCATCATCAAGGACCTCAAAATTTGCATCAGGCCTGATTAAGGAGAGGATGCTGACATAGAAAAATGAAGAGTCAAATGTCTAAACAACAGGCTGAGAACTCAAGTGTGTTCAGAGCATTGAAATCCCTTTTGAGGGGGCAAGAAGATTCATTTGTTTATAAGCATTTATTAGTAAAATAATATGACTAAACCCACTCAATAGATAGATGCCATAGACCACCTAAGGATTGGTGGCTGGCGTTAGGCAGCGTTTTGGGGAGAAGTCTCAGCAGGTTCAGGATCATTCACTGGTAGGAGGGGAGACACTATACACAGATGGGCTAGAACCAGGAGAGTATGGAGGTCTTTAGAATCCAGCAAATACGCAGCTATCAGGGTTCATTGTGTGAAGATGAGACTGGACTCATACAAGCCCTAGACTCATACAAATTCAAGATGGTGCATCAGTCACTCAGTATGGCCTCCAGATGCAATCAAGAGAGTAGATAAGCCGGGTGTGGTGAGGGATCTTTGAATCCTGTACTCAGGAGGCTGAGAAAGGAAGATCTACAAGCTATATAGTATAGCCAGACCTTTTCTCAGAGGGGGTAGTTTTGACAAACATAAATGAAGTTGCTACCAGCATAAAACAGCATACTATTTCAGAGTAAGTACAGTCTGAAATGGTGGTCAAAGCTACAGTATTGTAAAGCTTTCAAGTCTTGGGCACTGTCAGATGTATGTGCTGTAGTTTTGCAGTAGGTTTGTTTACACTGGCATCACTGCCAACATGTAAGTAATGGTCTAAGTATGACATTACCATAGAGAACATCACCAGATCATAGGAATTTTTCAGACTCTTAAATCTATGGGATTATGTAACATATATTATTGTTAGCTAGCATGTGCAATGTGACTACATTTAACGTTTATACAATAAAAATGTGTGGAAGATTAATTTTTTTTTATGTGGGTGGATGTTTAGCCTGCATAGATGTCTGTGTACCACATGCATAGCTGGTGTCCGTGGAAATCCCCTGGAACTGGAGTTATGAACAATTGTGAGCTCCCATACGGGTGTTGGGAATTGAACCTGCATTCCCCTCCCCAAAAAAAGTCAGTGCTCTTAAGTGCTGAGACATTTCTGCAGCCGAAGAGTTTTAAAATACATTTTTGCTGAGAATTACAAACATGCATACAACTTTTCGATCCCTGCTCTTAACTTTAACCCACTCCTTCCCAACTTTATGTCCTTTTTTTTTTTTTTAAAAAAAAATAATTCATCTAGTCTAATTTGTGTTACTCATATTCTCAGGGATGTGGGGCACTCCACTGGAGCATGGTCAGCTTACTAGGGGCTACACCATAAGAAGATTGACTCTTCCTTCCCCAAAGGCTATCAGTTATCAATAGCTCCCCAGCTGGGGTGGACAATTACAAGGCCCTCCCTCCTGCATGGAAGAGTTCTAATTGGGATACAAGATGAAAATACAGTGTTTAAGGAAGGTTACACCACATCATATAAAAACTGTATATGGAGATATGGAAATGAGCAGGGTTCATTTAGTAAAGATGCAGGCAAAAGGAATGGTAGAAAACCACAGTATGATTGATTGCACACTGGCTGGTCAAAGTGACCTTCCTAGCCTAAGAGAAACTATGGGACTTATGAGAATGGGTTGGCCCTGAAAAGTGTAATTGTTCAGATTTTGGCTGTGAGGAGAACTGGACAAAGGGGAAGAACTGGGACTGGGCAGAGCTGTAACCGGGACTATGTAGAGCTAATTAGGGAGCTGTAAAAACTAATTAGCGATGTGATGAGAGTCTCAGAGGATTATTTAAGGTAAAGTAAAAGAGAAAGTTACCATTAGAAAGCATCTGTGTTTATTTTTTTCCTCTCGTACAGGAAATGTCTAGCATTCAGATAAAGTCTTTCACACTGCCCTGGAGCAGATTGTGGGAGCTGGCCTCACACGGTCTGTGTTAAGGGCTCTTATGGAGGCTGTGATGAGCTAGTAAGTCTGACACAGGTCTAAAAGTAGATCTGAGTTCTCTACGTGGAGGACAATTTCTCTGGGAGGAGTCACCCAAACCTACACAAGATTCTCTAGGTAAAAGCCAAATTTTTTCATGCTGCTTAAATTTGGGGAAATTTTGTACACTGGCCATCTGACTAAATTTGTGGCAAAGAGGCCATCTGTATACATGCAATAGAAATTGTGGTCTGGGTACTATCAAGGTAGAACATGCAGTACAATTCTAAGGATGGGATTTGGAGTAACCATAGTAATTAGGAAAGGCAGGCAGATAGTGTAGTTGATTAAGGAAACTGCATAAGATGTATGTCTCCAGATACCACTGAAATTTATTACAGGACACCCATAAGCCCGAGTAAAATTAAATCCAAGCCATTATATATGTGCCTATCAGCCAGTTTTTTTTTCTTCCATTTCTGATCAACCTCTTTGAATACTGGTATTCTTTTGTGGTTCTTTAATTCAGTACTATGATCTCTCCTGGAACATCTCATAAACAAGATACTAATTAGTTCAATGACATCTTTAAATTTTTTAACATATATGTATGTACATGTCAGTTTGTATGTACATGTGTGGAGGTAAGAAGACAACTTCTGGTGTTTATCTTGCCCTGCATCTTTTGCTGCTGTGTATACTATCCTGGTTCACAAGCCTTCTGGGATTCTTCTGTGTCTGCCTCTCACCTTCTTCACAGGAGCGCCAGGATTACAGATGGGTGCTACTGCACACAACTTTTACATGGGTCTGGGCATTTGAAATCAGGTCCTCATGAACGCATGGCAAGAATCCTTTACCCAGGACATTTTTTATCATATAATTCTTACTCAGAATAACTAAAGTGCTACTTCAGAGTATGAAACTTACAAATTCTGTTTCAAATGTCATTTTTATTGCAAGATGGTATAACTAATTACAAGTTTAAACTATAACTTGGTAATTTTAGTTGGGCAGCAAGTTACTGCAAGTTACTTATTCAAAAGTGATCTTCAGTCAACTCCAGATATACAATAAGGATCAGAAATACCTAACTGGCCAATAGGGTTAAGTCACTAAATAAATGAATCTCGATCATTTCTCAGACAAGGTACACTGTGATTTCAATAGACAGCAAAACAGGAAGAGTTCTTCACACAGACTACTTCCCATTTCTCTCTGGCCATCTCAACTGAGACAGCTACATTCACATAACTGGCTGAGCTTGAGCCTTCTTAGCAAGCAGCTTTAGATCCGAAATACACTTGGCAATGGTCTCCTTTTCCTGTGACAAAGAAAAAGAAATGTAGTTAAATCTCTCAAAAACATATAAAGGTGACATAATCCCTACTAGAATAGAACCTCAAGATTACTGCTTAATGTTGAAAGCTTACTAAAAAAGGTTATAAGAGGAAATAATTATATAACATAGGGAAGATGTGATTTATTTTAGAAGCAAATCCTGGGAGCTAAACTTCCCTGGTCCACAGCTTTTAAGAGTAAAATCTACAGAGAACTTAAGGTCAGATATACTTATAATACCTTTACCTGATGCTAGTTTGGGTAATCACAGCACACCGAAAAAGACCAACCAACAAATACTATTAATAATGAAAATAATTGGGGCTGGAGAGACGGCTCAGCAGTCAAGTACACTTCCTATTCTTCCAAAGGACCTGAGTTCGGTTTTCAGCACCCACATCAGGTGGCTCACTGCCATCTGTAATTCCAGCTCCAGAGAATTTTAGGTACAGAGATACCTACATTCATTCGTGTGCACATATATATACCCCTAATAAAAACACCTAAAAAAAGAAAATAATTATAGGTCTTTTTCCAATATATTTTTTGGGGTATTTTCTAAGCATTTAAAATAAGGTACATGTTACAATCCATCAAATTCTGACAGACCTTGCTTTTCTTTTTCATCAACTTTTAAAAAAAAGATTTATTTTATTTTATGTGTATGAGTGTTTTGCCACTGGGGTAGGCTTTGAAGTTTCAAAATTTCACGCCAGGCCCAGCCCTTTTCTGTTTTCTGTTGTGGCTCAGATGTAAGTTCTCAGCTACTGTCATGCCTGCTGCCCACCATGATGCCATGGACTCTACCACCCTCTGGAACCATGAGCCCCATACTAAACCTTTCTTTTATAAGTTGGCTTGGTCATGGTGCTTTGTCAAAGAAGAAGGAAAGTAACTAAGACAGCAGGCAAAGACACTTGCCACCAAACTGCACAGTAGAGGGAAGGAACTGCCTCCCCTCCACCCCTGCAACTACACACACACACACACACTAAACAGCATATTATTGCCAGAATACCAGTCCAACCACAGAAGCTACAAAAGGTCATGTACCTGCTGTGCAGAAATGCTCTGCACCACATGCTTTTCCACCCAGTCTATCATGTGCTCTTGCTCCTTGCGACGCATCATGTTCTGTACAGAAATATGGTAGTCCAGGCGATTCTTCACCTCCTTATATGCTCTATGGAGCCGTTCCCGGTAGGTGACTTCCAAGGCCAAGGCAATATTATTCTGAGGGGAAGAATTAAATGGTTTGCATTTAATTAAGAAATGTTTTTGTATACATGAAGGAATACTTCTGGGAGATTTTCCAGGTAGCATACTACATTTCTCATGTTTATGTAAAATTCTTTTAATATGCAGGTAGTAAAACAGCACGTGACACAGGCTATCATCTTCCTGCATTCCTTACATTCTTCCCCAGAAATATTTAATAAACCCAACAGAGAGATACATGCATACACATATCACTTTCCTTACGATATACCACCCTCCTCAATTTTAAAGTACACTGGAGTCTACTATACTTGTGTTCCTGGATTCATTTACCCAAAATCTACTAATAGGTTAGGCTATTTCCAACGTCTTCTACCACAAATAGTGCGGTCTCTCGCTCTCTTGTGCGCTCTCTCTCTGTATATATGTTTGAATAGTAGCTCATATTTACCGAGTAACTACTATGTTCTAAACATTCTTGTGTTTGTGTCAATTTAGTTCAGTTTTATAAATACATCATGGGATATCAGTGTATCTATTTTACAGAGAGAAACTGAAGCAAAAAGTTGAACTTGTCCAAGATTACAGAGCCAATAAATTATGAAGCTAAGATCTGAACACATGCAATCAGGCTACAAAGGCCCATACTCTTAAGGATTTGTTGCTTTTGTTTATGTTGCATTTATTTAACTCTGTGAAGCTATGATTCTTTGCCTTTCTAAAACAGCTCATGGTCTAATAAAGAGCTAACCAGTCAATAGTGAGGCAGGAGTAAGAATAGGTGGGGCTGGCAGGCAGTGAGTATAAATAGGAGACATCTAGAAAGGGGAGGAGTAAGAAAACAAGAAGAGGAGGATGCCAGGGGCCAGCCGGCCAGCCACAGAGTAAAAAGGAAGGAAAGATATACAGAAATAGAGAAAGGTAAAAGCCCAGAGGCAAAGGTAGATGGGATAATTTAAGTTAAGGAAAGTTGGCTAGAAACAAGTCAAGCTAAGACTGGGTATAAATAAGAAAAGAATAAGTCTTTCCATGTATAATTTATTTGGGAGCTTGGAGAAGGACCTCCCTTCCCAAAGCCAAAAGAGTAAAAAAAAAACCCAACATTTTGGCATTCCAACGTGGGGCTAGGGCAAAAGAAAATCCAACAACACCCAAGTTAAGAGCATTGTTGCTCTCAACTGCAGAAGCATCTCTTTAGCCCCACGCTGTATACTTCTACAATGTAGAATTTCAATGAGACATCTTACCTTTAAATATTAGGCACAAAATACTGAGCTCAAAGAAAATAATGACAAACTATCTGACACATTTCTAATTTTAGAATCTAATTAAGCTCTCTGGGTACAATTAAAAGCTTTACTGCTTCCTAGATATGCTTTCTGAGTATATGTTAAGGATCAAATTATTTAATAACAAATGTTAAGATTTTCTTATTCAAGTATGTATGAAATACAAAGAATGTATTTCACCTTTGGCCTTTTTTACACAGTGTATGCCTTTTTAAAAATCAGTCCTAACTTATTATTTTCCTTTTGTATGAATTCAAAATATATTATTTTATACCTTATACTGCTTCTAATTTTAGAAGTTTAATTTTAATAATTTTATGTAGTTTTTTCATTTAGCAGTTCTTAAATATCTACATAATTATGACTGCTAACTTCTAGTCAAATCTTTGTTTTCACATAAAATAAAA